ATGGCAGCAACTTGTTATCATTAATTATGAGACTACACATTTTGCAAATGAATATTTTTAGCTTTAATTAGATAGAGGAGGTAGGAGACAAGGTGGAAATAGAAAAAAAACTCTCTAGTCCTATTTGGAGCTTGATTGTCTCCACATTTAATTCTTTCTCAAGTGAAAAAAAATATCAAATGAGAGAAAGAAGGGTGGAATGAAACTGGAACAGCTCAGGAGGCAGATAAAAAAAATAACGAAACAAGGTGGCAAAATAAGCAGAGAAGACAGGACAGTGTAATTTGAAGACAGAGACTAAGATTGGGGGTGGGGGGGAGGATAAAAAATTACCACAAAAGGCAGGGTAACTCCTCCCCCCATACACACCTATGGGTGTGCCTTTGGAGTTTATATTTCATTTTTTTTAAATATTTACTCTTAAAAAGCCTAACAATATTTTAGTAATGAAATTCAGTTTCCTTGATTTAAACAAGACTTAGGAGTAAAGAAGATTCTACATTTAGTAATCACCCTCTCCCACAAATACACACACAAACCAAGAAAAACCTAATCATTGTATTCTCTTTAATAATGAGAGGTTAGGTATATTTCATTGACTTAATTCTCCCCAAAATATCTGAAACTAACTATATCTAATCAACAAAGCCTGAAAAGTGGCTTCCTTCAAAAGTATTTAGTGTTTGGAAAATACACAAACACATGCATTTCAAAATGTTTTATCCTCACCTCCCCTGAATAACTCAACACTGAAGCATCTGTTGTTTGTTAAACTCAGGAAATTCCTTTGTTTTGCTCTTTATAGAACAGTTGAGAGTCAGTAATTAACTTGGGAAATCTGGCTTTTGTAAAATATTTTCTGCATTTTGTAAAGATATACAGGTTATTTCAGCAGCTTGTAAAAGCGCAGGACCATTAGTTAGCTAATTACATGAAAAAATATTTACAATTTGTATTATATATTAATTTACCATTCATAAAAATAACTAATCTCATTTATAGGGCTTTCCAACCATGGATTTCAAAGCTTTACTATAACAGATGAGAAACAAAGAGGTAACTTAATCCCTGAGCCTCAGTTTCTCCAACACTGAAAACCACTGGCAGAGCCAAAAATAGCCTAGATCTTATGGCTGACAAGACAGAACTTAACCATACTGCATACTTTGCATTACAATGCAACATATAACTGCCAATTTAAATAATCAGCTAGTAAAACAACAGAAAAATAAAGCAGTAAATCAAACCATTTTCATGGATGACTGAACACCACGAAAGACATCAAAATACTAGTCGGAATTATAATGTTCTTCCAATTATACAATTTTGTGGATGACAAAAATCTACCAGATACAACTGTGAAGTACCAAAACAGCAGGTCACCTTTAACAGACAAAGTCAGTACACTGAACTGTCCTACTTGAAACATATAGCCCATGGGCCAGATTCAACCCATTGAGCCATATAATCTGGCCCATGGGTTGCTGGCCCCAGCCCACAGGCTGCATGCAGCATGTGGGATAAACCTGGCACTGCACAGAGCTTTGGGGTTCAGTCTAGAGCATGTGCAAGATGAGGTGCCCCACTGAACTGGCCCTGCATACTAGTTCCAGGGTTAGTCCAGATCAGGACATGCTGGAGCCAGTGTGAAAAGCCAGTCTGGGGGAAGGACTCTGCATGCAGTGTGCCCCATACTGGCCCTCTTCTGTGTGCAGAGTACGTGGGCAGTCCAGTCCCACCCACACACTGCATGCAGCACATGTTGGCCCTGGGGCTCACTGGGGCAGCACAGGGTACGCATTGCCTACAGAGCCAGATTCCCCCTGCATGCCACAGACAGCACACACCTTGTGCCAGCCTCCCAAGCTGTGTGAGCCCCAGGGCAAGTACATGCCTCATGTGGTGCATGGGCTGGACCCGGGGGTCAGTCCCGGTCTGGTACACAGACCGACCTAGTGACCCTCATTCAGCCTTCAGGACCAGATGAGTATGACACCACTGTTTTACTTGGTTTTGGTGGATTATCCTACCAGGATTGAGAGAAGCTGCCCTGCATCACATCTTTTATCCAGTTTCTGGCATATTGGTCTGTGGATCAACAATTTTCCCTCTAAATTTTAACCCTGCTCCTCCCCAGCTTACTGTCTACTCATTTAGACGCTCATTTTTCAGTCTAGGGGATGGACGAGGGCCAGACATTCTAAAATCTGAATACACAGAGACTTGGCTAGTTAGTTTGAGCTGGCTCTCTTCCTCTTTCAGCTGTTAAATTACATTAAAGGAGGCAAAAATAAATCTAAAGCACTTTGCTAATGCATTTCCCCACATAAACAACTGCTGTGGTTACAACTGGAATCTTACATAACTGCAAATGGGATAATCCATGTAAATATGAGTAGGAAGAGAGATAAGAATGTCTCATAAAAGTGGTAATGCGCAGGGGGTGCACGTGCACCCCCTGACTGTCCGTGCTCACTGCTTAGGCAATAGGCAGGGGGGAGACAAGCAGGAGCGCTGGTCCCCCCCCCCAAGCTCTGGTCTATCGTTCCAATCCAGCTGCTTCTGGGAGTGGCTGCAGCAATGACCTGGCACTTGCTCCCAGGTCGCAGGATTGCTCATGGGGGAACCCCCCGGTTAGCAGGATCACCCACAGGGGACTCCCCCCTACTCGGAGGGAGTGGTTGCAGGGGGGACATGTGCCCCCTTGACTAAGGTGACACCAGTTGCCCATGTCTTGTAGATAAATAAAATGTGATGCAATATTCAGGAACTCTTTGGGGTAGGCTCACTCTTTCTTTGTATAGTGTTGTAAGAGTGATGTTTATAGCTGTGATGGTCCAGAAACTGTGCAAGAGGCACAGATTTCTTAGGGTGATATATCTTTGATTGGACCAACTATGTAGTTGGGATAAAGTTAGACTAGCTTTCGTATGCAAGATATTCTTCATCAGATCTCACCATGTCTTGCATTTGAAAGCTAGTCTGACTTTATCCCAACTACATAGTTGGTCCAATAAAAGATACATCAACCTAAGAAATCCTTGCCTTTTGTATAGTGTAGTATACATGTACATGTATACAACTTTGCTGTTCACCATTACTTTATTTTGGCTAGAAGGATATTCAAGTTTCTCACTCCTATCAGGCATGTGTTCTTCAGGTTATATTCCTCTACACACAAAAGTTTTTTGTTTTTCCATGTTCGTTTTATTTTTCTGCACATGCATTTCATCTCTCTGGCAAAGTCATCAGCAAACTTTATTAACACTATCTTTAATCCCTCTTCTAGGCCTTTCTTTGTAGCATCCCCAAACACAAACCCAGAATACAATACTGTAACATTTCTCTTTAGCCTTTGCTCATGGGACTTCATCCAGACTTCCATCCATATAAGAGATGTTATCCATGATTTAATTTTATATGTAAGATAGCAGAAGACCCCAAGACACCTTTTCTTTCCTTTTCAAAAAAAAAAAATATATATATTTATCCCTGTCCTTCTTAGGTTTTAGCAGAAAAGGGTTCACAAGAAGCACAGGTTTTCATGAAAGCTTTGCTTTTTACCTCTTATTTTAAGCTCCCTTAGGCCATGGTTACATGAACAAAATTGTCCCCACACAAGGAACCTAGAGGCAAAATCCTGGAGATAGCTGGTTGCAGGGAAATGTGAAGCAATGAACTGCTCCCTCTGGAAGATACTACCTTACCCCAGGAAGAATTTACCCTAAATTGAAACCCACGTAAATTACCTGAATTAAGGAGGTTTCCCCTTCAGTTTTCATATGTGGCCACAACCTTTTTCACCACTTCAAAACAGTTGAAGAAAAGATCGTTCTCTTTGTTTAAAAGATTACTTGCTTTATCAGAATAAATACTTCCAATAAATTAAACAGACAATCCATGCTGATTCCCATGTTTAAATCTGAGCACATACCAGGATGAACAAAAAAGTACTTAGTACAGAAAAAAAAGTACTATTAATTGAATTTCCTCATGCAACAGGGAGATCATGTAAGACACACTTTCACACATTCCAATGAACACTTTCACTAAGGGAATTAAAATTTTAAACCTAAGTGAATTAAATTGGTTATTTGAAAGGTAGGATAAGTAACTGGTTCACATTAGTGGACAGTGCTTTCAATACAATCTTTATTTGTTACATAATAAGGAACAAAAAGATTAGCTAATTTAAGTTCCTTTAAAACAAACAAACAAACAAAATCAGTTTAGCCAATGTGTGTCATGCGGACAATGTGTATATATAACAGTTTAGACTTTAATAATTATATGCCACATTTGTACTTGGTAAGCAACATAAAGGACTTGACCTTCCTATATTAACAGTATCATAGATGAAAAAATATTAATACTATCTTCATTTTGGATATGGAATAGCATAAAGACAGACTTAACTACTATAGACGTGAACACAAGACTGGCAGCCCCATCAAAAACTTCAAATGCATTTAAAGCAGTGTTTCAAAAGTGGGTCACAAAAATATATGAAAGAGTCATGAACAAACTTCGAAAACAGACTATACTTTAACATGAGAAAAATGTGGGAAACGATGGCTTTTCCCTTCCAGGCTGTAGGGTTCCAGCCTCCAAGGGGTTGCTTGGGACCCCTTCCATGCCTCCCACCCCACATGCTGGGGGACTGGGGGGCACCAGCAGGGCCAGGGGGCTGTTTTCTACTTAAACTATTTACTGGATTGGGACTGGCCACTGATGTTTACAAATGGGTCCTGGTACAAAACGGTTGAGAACTACTGATTTAAGCTACTTCATAATTTAAAATACACTGTTACATATGAGCTCATTTAAAACTTAAAACGTTTCCATCAAGAAAAGAAACATCACTGTTTCTAGGAAAAAACACAAGAAGATAAATCAGATTTTAAGTGTCTAGTACTAAGAAACTGCCTCATCTGTAACTTAGTTGGCTTGATTGCCCCCAAAGCCTGCTCAATATTTAAAATATTAAAGTAAAACAAACAAATATACCTTTCTTTGACTTTGCTCCAATCTTCAGCTTCGATGGCCAAGCAATCTGTGTATTTGTTTCTTCCATAATCTGTTAAAAGATTATATATATATATATTTAAAAATGTTTTGCCCTCCCCAATCATCCAACTGTTCTTTTTTTGGTTAAATTATGTCAATCCTTTTTTATGAAAGTTTAAATAAAATATATTTGAAGTAATGTGGTTAGTCATAAATTTATTTTAAGATGTAAGGTTAACTGTAAAGATTCTGTGAGAGTTTCGGGCTATAGGGAAAAAGTGCTTTAAATTCTGAAAATTGTAAACAAATTAAAGTTGAAAGTGTGCAAAGGAGAAACACCACACATTCATAAAAAGCCAGATCCATCTTAGTACAGAGGTTGTCAACTGGAAATACGTATGCCGCTGGGGGTACTCGAGACGGCCTTAGGGGGTACGTACAGATGGACGGGGACAGAGTGCCCCCATGCAGCATCCCATGCTGCTACACAAGCATCACCCACCCAGCCGGACTGGGGGCACGGGAAGCTTGCACATGGAAGCTGCCACCATTCCGCATCCAGCCGCTCGCCACCCTCTCCCCCTGTGGTCGTGGGTACACTGCTCTACATCTGGCCACTGGAGGTACAATGATGCAAAAAAGTTGAAAACCCCTGTCTTAGTAGAACTATCCCATAATCTCTAATGAATGCAGTAGCCCCTGGATAAGACTCAAGGGGCGTGTCTACACATACATTAATGCGCTTCTGCTACTATGCATTAAATGTAGTACCTCTAATATGAGGTACTAAATAAATGTACATTAGGCTGCAGTAGTGAAACTGCAAACTTTTTTAGGGACATTCAATGTGCAGTAGCCTGTTTTTACTGCACGTTAGTGTACTACCATGGTTTTTGATGTGGCACTTTAAAGCCAAGAAATTTGTTTGGGGTGCATCTACACATACATTTTTAATGTGCAGTAGCCTATTTTATTGAACATTAAAGTTACATGAACAAATGAATGTTTTAATTAAAATGTAAAATGATTTATAGTAAATCAAAGAATTTTTCAGCTTGCTTGTTTTGCATTCTTATAGATTAAGCTACTTTGGTTTGCATTCATTATTTATTTGTTGCTCCAATTTGTGTTTTAGTATTTCTAAATATTTTTTAATCTGAAAAAGAATTTTCAGCTCTGGAACAGTATTTAATCTTGAAACTTTTTTACTTATTGGTTTAGCAGTTTAAATGTTCTTTCAAGGTACTGGGGTAGGTGAACTACATCAATTTATCTCCACTGAGTCAAGTTATATATGGTTAAGTCAGTCACCTGATATTACATATTACCAAGTTAAGAACATAGTAATCTCAGTTGGATTCATTTTCATTTTATTTATATTAAAACACACACAAACACACACAAGAATTGGGAATAAGCTGAAATTTACCTACAACCATTTAGGACAGGATAGGATAGGACAGGACAGGACAAGATAGGATGACCTTGAGGACTGCTTTAATAGAAACAGTTTGTAATCCAGCAGTATAAAAAACCAAGGTCATGTACCAAGGTATTAATAAGAATTCTACTGTAAACTGAGAACTAATCTGTTGGAAACAGAAGAATAAAGAAAAAGACAGGCACAGCAGTCAATCACCTGATGACCAAATTATAGGTGATCTTGCTGTGAAAAAAAAGATAAATAGAATGCATCTGGCAAGGTACTATCAGTTGATATGGGGGAAGTATCAATTCCATTGGACAAGAGACTGCCGGGACCTTATTTAGAAGATAGTGCACAGTTCTTGTAACCCACATTCAAGAATAAAGAATTGAAACTAGAATAGATACAGAAAAGTGCTACTGGAATGATCATGGGATTAGAGATGCTGTCAAACTATCAAGAAAGGAAAAAAAAATGTAAGCTTAAGAAAGATTTTGGTGCAAGAACACATAGGGAGAGACTATCTGGAAATTAGTGGAAGATTTCTAGCCATCAGAACAATTAGAAAAGCCCTTTAATCAGAGAAGTAGAATAAAATGAATGGGGGGAGTAAGGGGACTTGATTAGTTTATAAAAACGATTAGATGACATGGCTGGTTGAGGCAGCAGGCAACTGGACTTGTTGATCCACACAGTTACACCCTCCAACACTATGTTTCCAAATAGAAGTATGTAAAATACAAGTTACTTTGTTTGGGTATGCTTTATAAATCTGAAAATATTTTTAAGTCATTTATTGAGCGAGACATTTTGTCAAGAAAATTTCCAATTGTCAACTGGAAAAAAAAGAAGAAACAAAAGAAAAAAGAAATGTGAAGCAGAGTAATTTAATACTGGTCTTGGCACTGCCTGCAATAAACAAAATAATTCCAATATTAAGGACACAAACCACTTCCAAAAGGAGAATGGAATATATTAGAAAAACAAACAAGCAAAACAAAAAGGAAAAAGAAGAAAAAAAAATACTTCCAACATTTATAGGTTCCCTATTCTAGCAGCTTCTAAGATGGAGACATTCTAATCTAATTCCTACACTTTTATTCTCTGCCCAGATCAATATAATTTTTTTTAAAAGCTTCTATTTCCAGATTATCACACCATGTGGAAAAAGTGAAAGTGTCAGCCAGGGATCGCTACGCTATACTTTCTATGGGTTAATACAGAATAATGGCATATTAAATTACAGCTGGAGGAAGACATTTCCAATGGGGTGAAATTCTATCAGCAACTTGTACATATTTTTCAAAATTCCCTAATTCAGATGCGAAGAAAGAAATCCACTAGAACAACTCTGAGCTCTAGACCTTTCAAGCTGACTTCATCCATCAGTAATTCACTCCACAAATAAAAGACTGGATCACATGGTAGCTTGACATATAAAATTTTAGTTAGCTGAAACTTGCTGAGTACAAATAAAAACAAATATTTTTCAAACAATCATTAAAAACACAGGTAAGTCAATTCCCTGATCACTGTATTAAGGTTTTACATTGACAACTCCCTCCCCATTAATGCTTTTGAGAGCCAATGCCAATATCACTTCCCTACAAATCAGTGGAACAGTCTTCAAATTATTACACTTGCAGCTGGTGTACAAAAGACTATAAAAGCTTTTTTGCATAAACAAAGGAAGGAAACAGGAGGCATTTCATTTTTTTTGATTAGCAAGAAAACTTTTTTTTGAAAATAATTACTTGACTCTCAGCCAACAAGTGCCTACTGCTTTCAGGTATATACAATAATGTAAGTTAAATCCAAAGATAATTAATTTATGGTCAACAGAATTAAGAGCCAACACTCAGAATATAGATCTGCCCAACTTCATATATTTTTCTTCTTTCTGGCCCATTCAGGAAGGAAACCTTACTTCACTGTTTGGGTTGGGAGAAAGTTTTATCCACACAATGCTTGGCTTCCAAATACACTGGAAAATAACTGACCTATTTTAAACATCATAATTTGATCTGCTAGAAAATTATTAAAATCTGAGGGGAAATACCTTCTAAGTTCAATGTTTTAGCATTGTTTTTCATGAAAAAAAGCACACCAAATGCTTCTTTCCATGTCTTTGAACAGGGGAACTTAAATTCCCAGATCTCATCCCAAGTATTCAATGACAACATTAACCCATGGGCTGGAGACACTGAAAAAGCTGGAGCCTCAGTTGATTCAATCTTGGCAGGACAGTGTAGCCTGCTTAGATTGAACCAATTTGCAAGTGAACCCATACACATTCCCATTTGACTCAGGAAATGCAGGCATATGCCTGCGGTGGCTCAGGCCAGAAGCCAGGGGGCGCTAGAGTATGCCATCAGCTGCAGGGAAGCTGTGCAAGGGGGAGCACAGCCAGCTCCTGCAGTAGTCTCAAGTGAACTGGCCAGGGACAGGGTTTAATTTCCCTCTCCTTGTGCCACCGGCATGTACCCAGGCTGGAGTCTACCTGGTGCTCCCCACTCACTGGTGCAGCAGCAGGGTGGTGAGTGGTCAGAGGCTGGCTGTCATGGCCTCCTGAGGCAAAGGAGGAAGGGGGGCGTTATTCTCCCCCTCTGCCCTCAGGGGACCGCAGGCAGGATCTGCCAATCCTGGCCACCTCTGCAGATCACTCCTTGCACATGGCGAGCAGTAGAATAAGCCTTCTCCCTGTCCCCTTCAGAAACCAGAGGGAGGGGAGAAATAAACACCCCCCTGCCTCTTTGCCTAAGGGGGCATGCTGGGTTCACAAGAAGCACAGGTGAAGGGGGAGCAACCCTCACAGGGCAGCAGCTCCTGTGATGGTTTCCTGGGGAACACAAGTCTCTTCTCCACAGAGGGACTACGATACAGGTAGAAACGGGGTGAGCAGAGCCACACCTCTGAGCTCTGGTGCCACCACTTGCCTCATGCAGCTCTGCCCACCCTGCTTCCAGCCACAGCACAGCCCCCCACTGCTGGGAAGAGGCTTGCACTCATGAGGAGTAATCAGCAGGGGCAGTGGCCGGGGCTGGCAGACCCTAGCTGCAGTCCCTGGGGGGGAAAGGGGACAGAGGGAAGAATTAACCTCCTCCCTGCCCCCTTCACTTTGGTGGGGCCATGCTGGCTGGCATCTGGGCATGCCCCGCTGGTGCAGTTGGGGGGGGGAACCTGACAAGGGCCATTCTGCCTTGCCAGGCAGACCTGGAGTCTCTGCCAGTGAGACAGGAAAGGGAGGGGGAATAAAATCCCTCACTGACTGTGCTCCCTTGGGGACCCTGCTACAGGCTGCTGCCCTGTCAGGATCCCTCCCCCTGCACTGCTCCATCAGCAGGGGTGGGAGGGGCATGGCTAGACGCTATCCCAGCATGGTCCCATTAAGGTGAAGGAGGCATGGAGGTGGTTAATTCTTCCCTCCATCCCCTCTCCCCCTCCTGGAGACCACAGTCAGGGTTTGCCTGGCTGCAGGCAAGCAGTGGAGGTGGCAACTGGGTCCCTAGAGGGAGAAGGGAAAGGGGAGGAATAATAAACTCACTCCCTGCCCTCTTCACCTCAGGGGGCTATGGCAAGCCAGTATCTTGCCATGCCCCTGCCCCTGCTCAGGCTATAGAGCAGAGGGGCAGGGCCAGCCCTGCTCTCTGGAGCAGACAGCACAGCCCAGCACAGAACTGCAGAGCATGCTGGGATGCTGGAGGACTCTGTTTTAACTTAAACCAGGAAGGGGCCTGGAATAGAAGTTGCACAAACTGGTTTGACCCAAATCAGTTAAGTCTGATACTACAGTCAACCAGGTTTATCTTAAAACAGTTTTGACCATTTTGCAACTAGTTTGTGCGCACTGGGCTTCTGTTCTGTTACAGGTTTAAACCATCTTCTGATCACTTAAACCAGTTTATGTGCAACTTCTGTCCCTAGCCATGAAGTTCAGACTCTAGGACTGGAGAAAGGCTAGAATGGTGGGCTATATTCTGTCTCATTCTCATCAAGCCCAATAAGCAAACTAGAACAAATTAATATGTAGAATAAAGGCATACTGTTAGAAAGGGCCTCAAGGGTCGTGTAAGTGTAACTTCCTGTAGAAATGCAGGATGTGCTATTCCTGTACTATCCCAGAAAACCACTTATTCAGCCTCTTCTAGAAAATCTCCAAAGAAGTAAATTTCCCAACTTGCCTGGGCAGCTGTCTTCACTGTTCTATCAGTAAGATTTTTTTTTACCTGAGACTGATTAAATCTGCTTTGCTGCAGTTTAAACCCATTGTTTTGTGGCCTGCCATCTGCAAGAAAAGAAAACAGTTATTGTCTCTTTTCTTTATGGCAGCCTTTCAAATATTTGCAAACTGCTATCGTGTCCCCTCTCTCCATCTCCTTTATGCCAAACTAAACATACCTAGATGTTTCAACCTTTCCATGCATGGCTTGCATTACAACCCCTTGATCATCTTAGTCCCTTACCTCTGGATCCTCTGAAGTCTCACCACATCCTTCTGAAATTACAGAGCCCAGAACTGTATACAATAATGTAGCTGAGGCCCAACCAGTCCTAAACTGAATATTACTATTAGCTCCTGTGACAATTATCCCATTAGTTTTGTGAAATACCTTGACACCCAATGGATGGGTGCAGCACCCATTAAAGGAGGCTATAGCTCATGCACATGTTCAAATAATCCAGGAGAATTCTCCCAGGTTTCTTTTCCTTACCTGGAGACCCCTGAACAGACATTCAAATGCCGAGCTGTTGCACAGCCAGCGGTTCTCTATCATACATCTCAGCATGCTCTGCAGGCTCCCCAGTCTGCCTGCTGACAGATGACAGCAGTGAAGAGGGTAGCCCTGACTGGCTAATCCAGACCGATACTCAGGCTGTCTCCCCCTACTGCACAACTTGGAGATTTTGAAAGGGTAAACTGCTCAGCTGGAGCAGGAGAGTCCAGCCCAAGTGACACACTGGATCCTGGCAGACATTACACTTCAGATGTGATTGCGCAGTTACCAGGCCATGTGTTCATGCAATGAATGATGCAATAAACCATGGAATAAGTCACAAAATATATTTAATAATTTTGTAGCTGATTCCCATCATGCCTTAAATTGAACATGTGGCCAGTGTGTTCCTGCAGTTGTGAGCACAAGTTTCCTGATCAGCACTTCCAGCCTAAGGAAGACATATGAGCCAACAGGCACTCCTAGTTGTAGTGCACTTGGCACCTGGCTTGTGGTGCAGGGGAATCCTAGGCTCCTTCTACACCAGCCCTAGGGTGCAATTGGGATCTTATCCTCCAACCCAACAATTGCTTCTCCTGCTATGCACGTGGCATGACAGGAGGCACTGTTCAGATGTGGGGATCAGATCCCAATTCAACTTTTAAAGGAACATCTGTCAAAGTCCACTGTTTCCCTAGATCCGTGGGGAGCCCATAGTCAACATTTGTACATAATTAAGAGATGGTCACAGAATCATAAGCAAATAGAAGGGACCCCCCCAAAAAGGTCATCTAGTCCAGTGTTTCTCAGCCCATGAGTCACAACCCAAAAGTGGGTTGCAAGAACATAGCACACAGTCATGAACAAACTTTAAAAATCCTTGGGGCTGGGGGGAGCAGGAGGCGGCCAGCTTAGGTTCCATGCCAGGAGGGAAGCATGTGCCCCCTCCTGTCCCCTCCACCGCTGATTTCTGCACCCACAGCAGGCATGGAGCTGTAGCCTGGTCAGATCAGCACAGAAAAGGCAGGAGCTGCCTCCATTGCCCAGCAGGCAGAACCCAGCATGGGAGGGAAGAGCGGGCCAGTGAGACATGTTGCTGCCACCACTGCCGAGACCCTTACACCTGCCACACTGCCAGAGTGCAAGAAGTAACAAGTGTGGGGGAGTGCTGCCTTCACCTCCTCCCACCACCAACTGCATACATGCCTGCTGAAGCTCTACCCCACTGCTACGGCTCAGCTGCTGCCACCACTCCCTTCAGGCCATGACTCTACCCTGGAAGGGAGGAGGGGTGAGGGACTGTATGGATGGCCTGAAGGGAGCAAAGGCAGCTCCTGCTCAGTCTGGCCAGGCTGCAGTCCCATGTCTGAAATCAGGGGAGCATGTGCATACCCAGCCCTGCCCCACATACTGAGGGGACAGGGCATGGGGGCAGCAGGTTGGGAGTGAGGGTCACCAGATGGGCCAGAGGTACAGGTCAGGAGCAAGGTGGCCTGGAGTCTAAAAAGGTTGAGAACCACTGATCTAAGTCCACTCCCTAGCTCAAGATACACTTGTAAGTTTCCCATTCTATTCAGGAGTTATTCACTTAGTTTGGGGGATTTCTGTTTAAATTATCAGAGTTAATTTGGCACTAGAAAAGCAGCATTTTGAAGAGATGCAAGGCTGAGAAAAAGGCTTCTCCAGTGTTGTTCTGGAGGTCAAATAAAAATATACATAAATGGGTAGGGAAGTGTAGAGCTTTCAAAACATCAAAATTCAAACATGCTAGCCTACTTAAAATTATGAACAAATTCTACAGTTGCATAATAACAAATAACTTAATATATTAAGATAACCCAAAACAAGGACAGAATGCTGGAATAGGATGGTAAGAGAAAGATGTGCTATTAGCCACAAACAGAGGAAAAACATTCACAATAAAAGTTTCAACCAATTATTCCTTCATCCCCATAATACTTTCATCCCCTTGATCTCTTTCAAACTGTATTAGGAAGAATATCCTTTTCACTTCTTCACACCAAGCCAACATGCAGAGGGTCAGACAGACATCTGATGAAGCAGGTTATTACCTACAAAACCTCATTCCTTCTGAACCAGTTAGTGTCTAAGGTTAAGTACAGACAGTCAGAAAGCTGAATTTATTCAATCTTTGCAGGTTAGTCTAAGCTGAAAAAATTGAACCAATAAGCAAATGAACAGACATTCACTTGGGATTCAGGAAATGCAGTCACATGCCTGCAGTGGCTCAAGCCAGACGCCAGGGGACGCTAGAGCACAGCTCTCAGGCACATGTTCACTTCCTCTTCTTGCTGTCAACGAGGTCTCTGGGATTTGCAGTTCAGACTCATAGCAACAGCACTCTTCAGTGTTGCTCATCACTTCCTCTTCCTGCTTCGAAGTACATCTGGGATGTCTAGTCCACAGTCATATTCTGAACCAAGTATACCAACAGGGCAGAGCAGCACTGTACTTGGGGGAAGGTGAGTTTAACCCCCCTCCCTGGCACCAGACCCTGGGGCAGGGGGGCAGTGAGCCAGCCCTCACTGCTCCAGCTAGGGAGCAGAGGGGCAGGGCCAGCCCTGTTCTCTGGCGCAGATACCACACCACAGCACAGCCTAGCCCAGCCCAGTTCATAAACTGGTTTGACCTAAATCAGTTAATTCTGATACCACATTCAACCAGGTATACCTTAAACCAGTTTCAGCCATTTTGAAACTGGTTTATGTGCATTGAGCTTCTGTTCTGTTACAGATTTAAACCAGTTTCTGATGACATAAACCAGTCTGTGTGCAACTTACATCCCTATCCTAAAGCACCACCCAGCCCTATCTTCTGCCTGACTTCAGGCTAATATGGTAAATCTCCTCTGTGATCAAACAAACAAAACCCTGTAAAACTGTAATGTTAAAGGACTATACATTCAGAGTATAGGGAAAAAGATATCTTTTCTTTTCAAAAAGAAATCATTATTGGGGGAAAAACAAATCAAGGGAAATTGGCTACTTACCTCTTTTACACTCAGTTGGAACTCACCAAATAAGCCTAAACAAACCTAAAATGTTTACTACAAATATATGTAATATCTCAGTAAATGCTACATTTCTTACCATGTTGATCACACGTAAAAGTAACCCTACTTATCTGTACAATGTTTGTGATTAGAGAACGTCAGGTAACACAGAACACCAGGTACAGACTGTTAAACCAGACTTCTGGATGCATTTAAATTTACCATGTTCAATAAGTTCATATCTCAAGCAGTAGTTGCTAGGATTTGTCAGATTATGTATTAATGAGTCTCAATTTAGTGGGCTTTATGGTATATGTTACAACTGGTTCACAAAGAACCTCTTTCATAGTTTTGGAAACCATGGACTACTACTACATAAGACACAGAAACTTCCTGCTTTACAACCTCATTACTTTCTCCAGTCATTTTTCCATCAATAAGCTGATTCTCTTTCACAGTTCTCTTAGTGGTGGAGATGGTCACTAACGAAAACAGATTATTAATGACTTCAAGTGTGCAAAATTAAAATTTGATTTCTTTTTAGAAGTGAATAGGGGATACAAATCAATCAGTATTATATTAATTTAAATTACTTTGAGAAATACCTTTCTAAGAATCCAAGTATTCTACTTCATTCTTGTAATTTGGAAAGTAAGATCACATTTGCTTAAAATCAAACACTGAATACTTTCTGATTTTCATTAGTGGCTTTTTCATACTATAATGGAACACCAAGATTTACAAAATTCCAAAAGAGAAACAGGTGAAAATTTATGATAGGTATTATTAGCAATCAAATACAAAGCCCTGAAGCTAAGTTTTCCTACAGTAAGTTTTCCTCTTAAAGCAACATTTAATTCAACTTCCTAACTGTCTCTCAGATACATTTAGAACCTAAAACACTAGCCAGCTCTAGGTATTTTTCTTTGAAACAAATTTAGAATCAATCCACATAAACTCAATAGCATGTGGCAGTGGAATGCTTTTCTTGGTCAAAGCTCAATATACAGCCACTCACTGCTGAAAGCAAGTAAGAAAGATGTAGGAAGAGATTTTTAGTTCTGTCAAACCAGCAAAAAGCAAACGCAACTAACTATAAACAATGGAGATGTTCTAAGACAACGTTCTTTCATTTGCAAAATCTATTAAGATGAATCAATCCCAGTGCAAACATGACTCTATATGTCCATGGAGTTTCATACACATACCCTGAAGTTTAATCTTTCTGAACAGATTTGAGAAATGAAAGATGGAGGGCTTCTCGTTACTGCAATTTTGTATAGGAACATGCGCACTTTGCAGGTTCTATAGTACATTACCCAAATCACATGGTCTGGGTCTCATGGAGGACTTTAATTATAGGGACATCTGCTGTAAGGCAGCACAGCAGGGTACAAGCAGTCCAGAAAATTGTTGGAGTGCATTGGGGATAATTTTTCATTACAGATGGTAGAGAGGCCAACTAGAAGAGAAGCTCTTCTCAATCTGCTGCTCACAAACAGAGGTGAATTAGTTGAGAATGTGAAAGTGGAAGGTAACTTAGGTGACAGTGTCCACAACATGATAGAGTTCAGGATCCTAAAGGGAGGGAAAAAAGAGAGTGGTAGAATAAAAAGGCACTGAACTTCAGAAAAGCAGACTTCAGCAAACTCAGAAAAACTGTTGGGAAGGATCTCTTGGGGGGCAAGTCTGAGGGGAATAGGAGTCCAGGAGAGCTACTGTACTTTAAGAAGGCCCTTTAAGGACATAGGAACAAGCTATCCCAATGCAAGGGTGCACCAAGCAGGATTTGCACCCCAGATCGTAGGAGACTTAGCCAAAATAGTCCACAGATGCTGCTGCCACTGCTTTGACCATGAGCTCTGCCCACCCCAGCACTTGCTCTTAAAGCTTGAACACCATGTCTGAGCACTGGCTGTTGCTGCAAGAGCAACTCTATGGGACTGGCTCTTGCTGCTATGGAGCAGATTCCACATGCGTGGGGCGGTGATTTTGGCAACCCTCCTATGTCAGTGACCAGGGCTGGTCCCCACTCACCTGCCCCTAGTTATGCCACTATCCTGATGCATTACAAGGATGGGAAGTACAATACGAGACCAGCCTGGGTAGACGACAAACTGCTCAATGAACTGAAACTCAAAAATAAAATTCTATAAAAAGTGGAAACTTCCTCTTATTGCTAGGGAAGAGTACAAAAGTATTGCAGGGACATGCAGGGATAAAATTAAGGTAGGCAGGGCACAATTTGAGATGCAACTGGCACAGCACATAAAGGCAATAAAAAGGGATTCTACAAGTATGTCAAGAAGAGGAAGAATAAGGAAACCATTCTGTTGCTTACAGAATGCAGAGGAGAGGGAAGGAGACAAACAGGTTAGAGTAGAAGAACAGGTTAGTTATTACTTAAGAGAAGCTAGATGCGTTTAGGTTAACAGAGCTGGATGGGATGCAACATGGTGTACTGAAAAATTGGCTGAGGTAATTTCAGAGTTTTGATAACTCCTTGATAACTCATGGAAGTTGGAAGAGGTCTTAGATGATGGAAAAGGGCAAATATAAGACCCACTTTTATGACAGGAAAGAAGGGGGATTTGGCGATTACAGATCAGTCAGACTGTCCTCAATACTTGGAAAGACCTTGGAGCAGGTCCTCAAGGAATATATTGTAAAAGCATCGAGAGGAAAACAAAGTGACCAGGGATAGCCAGCATGAATTCACCAGCTAGATTTCTTTCTACGATAAGGTAAAGGGCTCTGTGGATGGGGGTGAGGGGAGGGTGGAGTAGATGTGATGCGACAGCTGTAGATGTGCTATACCTGGACTGTAGCAAGGCTTTTCACACTGTTCCCCATGAAATTCACACTAACAAACCAAGGAAATATAGGGTAGACAAAAGTACTATAAAGGTGGATATAAAACTGGTTGGATCATCATGCTCAATGAGTATTCACCAGTGGCTCAATGTCTAGTTGGGCGGAGGTATCAAGTGTGGTACCCCAGGGTCTTGTGTTGTGTAGTATTTTCATTAATGATTTAGATAATGGAATTGAGTGCACACTTAGCAATCAAATGAAATTCAACAAAGACAAGTGCAAAGTCCTGTACTTGGGATGAAATACTTGCATGCACTTATACAGACTGGGGAATGACTAGTTAGACTGCAGTACTGTAGACCATAAGATGAATATGAGCCAAAGGTGTGCTCTTGTTGCAAAAAGCCAGAAGCATACAGGGTTATATTAACGGGAGTGTCACTTGCAAATCAAGTGAAGCAATTCCTCTACTCCATTCAGCACTGGTGAGGCCTCACCCAGATCACTACATCCAGTTTTTGGACCATATACTTCAAGGATGTGGACAGATTGGAGAGTCCAGCACAGAACAACAAAAATGGTCAGGGGCCTGGGAAGAATGATTTGAGGAAAAGCTGAAAGAGCTAAAGTTATTTAGGCTGGAGAAGAGAAGGCTGAGCAGGGTATTTGATACCTGAAGGGTGACTATAGAGAGGTTGAAGATGGGCTTTTCTCCATGATTGCAGGGGACAGGACTAAGAACAATGGCCTCAAGCTTCAGCAGGGGAAATTTAGGTTAGAAATCAGGAGAAATGTTCCGATTTTGTTCAATATCTTCATTAACAATCTGGAAGATGGGACGGATGGATTGCACCCAAAGCAAATTCGTGGATTACATGAATCTGAGAGGTATAGCAGATATGCTAAAGGGTAGGGTTAGGATTCAGAGAGACCTAGACGAACTGGAGAACTGGGCCAAAAGAAATCTCATGAGGTTCAACGAAGACAAGTGCAAAGTTATGTACTTAGGACAGAAGAATCCCATGCACCGCTACAGGTTTGGGACCAACTAACTAAGCAGCACCTCTGCAGTAAAGGTCTCGGGGGTTACAGTGGACAATAAGATGGATATGAGCCAGTAGTGTGCCCTTGTTGCCAAAAAGGCTAACAGCTTACTGGGCTGCATTACTAGAAGCGTTGCCAGCAGATCGACGGAAGCGATTATTCCCCTCTACTCTGCACTAGTGAGGCCACACCTGGAGTACTGTGTCCAGTTTTGGGCCCCTCATACCAGAAAGGATGTGGACAAGTTGGACAGAGTTCAGTGGAGGGCAACAAAAATGGTTGGAAGGCTAGGGCACATTACTTATGAGGAGAGGCTGAGGGAACTGGACTTATTTAGTCTGCAGAAGAGAAGACTGAGGGAGAATTTGATAGAAGCCTTTAACTACCTGAAAGTAGGTTCCAGAAAGGATGGAGCTAGATTGTTCTCACTAGTGACAGAACAAGGAACAGTACTCTCAAGCTACAGTAAGGGAAGTTTAGGTTGGATATTAGGAAAAAATTCTCACTAAGAGGGTAGTGAAACACTAGAACACATTACCTAGAGAGGTGGTGGAATCTCCATCCTTGGAGGTTTTTAAGGCTGTCTCGATGAAGCCCTGGATGAAATGATCTAGATCGAGATAGTCTTGCTCTGAGTCTGAGGACTAGATGACCTCATGAGGTCCCTTCGAACCCTAATTTTCTATGATTATGAGTGTGATCAAGCATTGGAACAGGTTACCTACAGAAGTTTGAAATATCCATTCCTATAAGTTTTCAAGAGCAGACTGGACAGATACTTGGCTTAGTCAGGGAAGGTTCTGTTATGAACAGGGGGCTAGAATAGATCCTTCCAGCCCTATTTTACTATATTCCTATGTAATCGCAAAGTCTGTGAGGTGGAAGGTAATCTGGTTGCAGGGCAACTGCTTTTTTATGGGTTTTTTGCCCAAGGAGAGGGATGGGGAAAATGGATATGGGGCACAAACACAGACAAGTGATGGAAGAACAAATTGAAAAGTCTCAAATATGACATCAGCAAAGCAATTTCAAACCTCTTCAGTTTCCAGGAGTGGCACAGAAGGAAAGAAACCTTGGAGGGTTCCTCCCTACCTGGAGATACCTTTCCACAGTAAATCTTATGGAGGAAGAATCAACAGGTGGCTCATCCACTCAAATAAGAAGGTTAGTGAAAGATGGCAGATTCCTGAAGGTACATGCTACTACGAAAATAGCTCTCCCATTCAACCCTGGAAAAACAAGATACTGCAAGCCACTTAGCCTTCCATGAAAACAAATGTATGGCAGGATTAGGGCTCCGTCCTCAATGGGTTCTAGGTATTTTCCAGGTATAGATAGGACACTTTTGTCTACCATTTCTTCCAGGAGAGCTGTTTTAAATTAGGGATTTAAATTATCAATTTATAATCATTATTTCAATCATATTTTTAATTTTGTTTTACATTTGCACTTTTTAGTTATTTTCCAAAATAAATGCCAGTTCTCATTGACTATTAACCAATTTGGACATGCTTATTTGTAACTAAATATAGCTGCTGTTGCAATTTAACACTTGCTTAGTTTCTTCATTTTTACATTTAAAATGCTGGGAAAGAATAATGTAATCTAACCAAATTAAAAAAACAAAATTCATGCCTGGTGTCAAGCTTCTTTCAATTGGAAACTGGAATCAGCTAATGAAGAAAGTTCGTATAAATATTGTTATCAGGTAAATGAACCCATGATAAATGTGCTGAATGCATAATTTTAACTAAAATAAGCAAAGATGATGCAGAAAGTTTAAATTCTTGGTAGACCAGGCTCAGTGATAAAATAAAAAGAAAACATGCAGAACATTTGCAAAAAACTTAGTAGTGGTTTTGTGTTCCTAATGTGAGACACCAGAAATATGCCAGACACTCAATTGCTGAGCAACCATTCTGTAAATATAAAACCTTTAAAAGGTGTCAATTGGTAGCCCAATACTTAGTCAGTAAAACATATTTAAAGTCTTTGCAAAGTAATTCAAAATATTAAAAAAAATGACTAGAAAACAAAAAAAAACCTTGAAAGTAATCACTGAAACTTTAAAAATAACACATCATGATTTTATTGTAATCCCAAAATTTAACAAGCAAGAAAAACCTGTTTTCTTCCTATTTAACCTGCTCTCCCCATTACTGCCCTGTTAACAGTGCCTATGTTCACAAAGGACTGATGCTAAAAAAAATCTCTAAAAAAATACAACACAGGTGATAGAAGTACTTTACTGAACAATGTAGAGTAACGCAGGTACAGTGCACACAGATAATGACAAAAATTCCATTATAAAGGCATTATATTAGATACAAGTTCTTGTTTCACACTCTTATTCTGAACCTGAATCCTCATGGGCAGCCTGTAGATACTTCACTGCATCTCAAAAACAGCTCATCCCTCTGTAAAATTTAATGTAATTAAAGTACAAAAGATTAAGGAACTTACATAAGATAACAGAGCAAGTCATCATCAGAGCCAGAAGTAAATTCCAGGGATAGCAATAGTGTAGGCAAGAGAAATAAATAATGTGGTAAGAGTTTCTTCATAATGGCTTTTTTCAAATATGCTCTTTCAGAAACAAGAGGTTTTAATGGGAGACTTATTCCATGGTTATAAATATTAAATCTTTTTTTTGTAGATGTGAAACACTATTGTCAAATAGTAGGGTTGTGCGAAGCTTCAGTTGCTGATTTGGCCCGATTCAGCGGCCGAATCTCCAAATCCGAAGACCCATTAATCTCTCTGAATCAAATCGGAAGCCTCCAATTTGATTCAGAGAGATTCGACAATTCAGACATAGACACAGCTTTATATGTTTTTTCTACGTACCTCAAAGTACCAGGCAGCTTGTGAACGCCGAGATGGTGGGGCAGATGGAGCATCCCATAGGAGCGCGGGGGAGGGGTCCCCAGTCCACTTCCAGGTCCGCCACTTTGCCTGGTGCCTCCTGTGTCTGGAGGGCACCCGGGGTTCCCCTGCAGCTGATGGCCGAGTCGGTGGGGGGGGTCCCTGTGCACTCAGCGGTGGACCCAGAAGTGGACCAGAAGTATTTCCGGTCCACTGCTGAGCATGCGGGGGGGGGGGGGGGGGGGG